GGCCGCCCGGAGGTGGGACGGAGGGAAAGGCGACGGACACCCGCCCCAGCCAATCCGCGGCTCGCAGGATCCCGTACGCCCCCCGCAGCGTCCCGCCCCCTGTAGGCCCCGCCCCTCTTTGTAAAAGCTTAATTGACCAAGGCTGAAGATCTAACTCGTTTTTTCGGGGTCGGAAGTTCCACTGACGTTCGCAAGTGGGAAGGGGGTCACCACTTCCCCCGACTGCAAACCACGTGTTTTACAGACAGAAGGGAAGGAGCAGCCTGCCCCTGTCGAGGAAATAACAGGTCTCAAGACAAGATGCTGCAGCTCCAGTTTGAGGCCTGTGAGAGAGGAGGGACACCTGACCTGGATCCTCAGGTGCTTCCCCCTGACCTGCACCGGACTGGGCTCCTGCAGTCTTGAGAGTCCTCTCTATAAAGTGTCTCTCGCGTATCTGTCTCCCTACCTGGAGATGATAAGGTGCCTTTCTCACAGGGTCACGGAAAGATGAAGCAGATTACTATCTCAAAATGTGCTCGGCACGTAACATGCTTCTTGTCGTTGGTGTCAGGAGTCTTGATATTTTACTGAGATAACACAAAAGATTTAGTAGAGAAGAGCAGAATCTGGCTGGGAAAGGAAATCCATGTATGGAGTTCACATCCCGTCCGTCCCTAAAATGGTATCAATAAAGCCCTCTGTCGTCCATAGAGAGCTCAGTGTGCTGAATTGACATTTTGCAAGCATATTTCATCTCTACTACTCACAACACTACAAGATATGCTTGCCGTGGTTTGTGCCCCCAAAAAGCATGTTTTGGAAACAATCTCATGTGCAACAGTGTTAGGAGGTAGGGCCTAAGGAGACGTGTTGAGAACCTAAGGCCCCAACCCTCACGGATGGATTAACGCCAACTGTAAAAGGGTTGAATCTACAAGTGTAATCTCTTGCTCTCACTGTGGTCTTTTTCGGCTTTTGCTTTCAGACAAAGGATGATGCAGCCAGAGGGCTTTTACAAGATGCAGTCCTTCAACCTAAACTCCTCAGCTTTTCTAGCACTATGAAAAAACAAATTTATCTTCTTTATAAGTTCCCAAGCCTCTAGTATTCTGTTATAGTAACACAAAATAGAGTAGGACAATTTTCAATACCCACTGTACAGATGAACAAGCTGAGGTTCACAGCAATGACAGGTTTTAGGTTCTAGTAAGTGGAATTCTTTCTATCCTATTGTTCAAATACCTCGTAAGTAAAGGTGAACAATAGGAAAAGAAAAGATGAAACAAAAAAGAAAACGACTGACATAGAGAACTGGAGAGAAAAAAATACCTCCTAAAAGTGAGGAAGACATCAGTCTCTTGTGCCTATACCATCAGTCTCAAAGGTCAGTGTAATTTATACTGAAGAATTTGTCCCAGGCTCTCTTACAATGCCGTCCCACCCACAGAACTCTAATTAGTACTTACAGATCACCTCTGCTCCCCTTACTTTGTTGTATGTGGCCACATAGCACTGATTTCCTTGTGGCACTCCATACATTTTATGCTTTATTTGATACCATCTGTGTACACAGCCACACATGAGCGCTCCATATGAGCTTCATGTGAGCAGCGGTTTTCTCTTTGTTGTGTTTGCTGTTATATCCCTGGCACCTACAAGAAGGTATGGCCCCCGCCTTAGAACACCTGTGGGGTACAACATCTGCCCTTCCTGAGACCTAAGAGCACCTCGAGTAGCACACAGTTGAGCATGTAGCCAAAGTACTTTGTTACAAGAATAATACAGGAGCCATGACACGCGCTGCCAGGGTTGAAAGTACTAAATGATCAACTTCAAATAAAAACATATCCCTACCAGAGCTTGCTAAACAATGAATGTTTTTCTTCATTCATCTTGTGGAGAAAGAAGAAAAGAACAAACCCTTGGTTTATTTAACCTACGAACAGTTTTGATGACTTCTGTGCTGTCTTGTACTTCTCCCACTCTTCGCCTCTCCCACATCCTAGAAGAATAACGCAGTAATGGTTCACTTTATAGAATTTACTACCCACAATTGCCCACATAATTCACGCTCAGGGAAACTTCATCCTGAGGTGCCGGTAAACTGAGTAAAGAGGGTAATTGTTAAAATTGCTTTGTGCAAGTAGAGGTGGCTATGAAGTGTTTTTGAGGTACTATGAGGCAAATTGTTCTCTTAAGTATTTTACATGTTTATATGAAATGTAGCACAAGGGAATAGTTGCTCAGCAAAGGTGAATGTGAAGCTAAATTCACCACTAACAATGAATTGGTAGCACCTAAAGGTAATGTTTTAGCTGTAACCTAAGTTCAGAACTCTTCTGGGTTTCCAGAGCAATAGGTAATTCTAGTAGAGTCTGGGATACAACCCCTTGACAAGATCTTCATCCCAAGGAGCCTACATACAGGCTTCCTGTGAACAGTTCTCTATAGCCAGGGTATATTTTGTTTTTATGTTTTTTGGGATTTTTTGTTTTGTTTTGTTTTTTACAGTACCGGGAATTGAACTCACGACCTTGTGCTTGCCAGGCAGGTGCTATGCCACTGAGCTAAATCCCCAGCTGAGCCAGGGTATATTTTGCAGAGACAGGCAGCAGCTTCTTTGTCATCCGCAAAGCCTGAAACCACCTTTAACCTTTAACAGAGGATCCTTTGACAGTTATAGGTATTTCCATTGCCTCTTCTTATAGTTTAAATATTGTCAGTCATCTAATCCTATAAAGGTATTAGAAAGGGGAAACTTTCTACCCCCTAAAGCTTTTATTTTCTTTTTAAGTACAGAAGATCAGTTCCAGGGCCTTCTCACTGAACTATATCCCCAACCCTTGTTACATTTTTTGTTTTGTGACAAACTCTTGTTAAACTGGCCAAGTTGGGCTCAAACTAATGATCCTCTTGCCTCAGCCTCCCAGAGTGCTGCGATTATGGGGGTGACCATCCATGTCCAGCTCCTCTGAACTTTGACAGTTGAGTTTATTAAACAAACAGTAGACAGATTAGCAGGAGGGAAAAAAAGGTATTTTAATTACACACCTCTGCACAGGGGCTCAGAAGCACGAGACCGAAAGAAGTATCAGGTGAGCTCCACCTGAGGCACATGCCTATAATCCCAGCATCCTGAGGCGGAGACAGGAAGATCAATCACAAACACAGACACAACCTAGGCAACTTAGTGACTTAGGGAGACCCTGCCTGTCTCAAATTTTAAAAAACTTAAAAAGGGCTGGAGATGTAATTATGTAGCAAAGTGCGAAGGCCCTTGTTTAACCTCCAGAACTGCAGAAGGAATAAAAAGACCAGATGATTGAAGTTTATCTACCATCCTCAACTACAGAAAGAAATAGGGAGTTGGGGCTTGTGGGAGGGTGAAGGCAGAGATACACAGTGAAGAAAGGTTATCTTATTATTGCAATAAAGAGTCTCCCAGGTAATGAGATTTGGCATTGGAGCAGCCCTCAGAAAAATGGTGAGTCTATGACACCTGTCTGGATGTGCTGTAGGTGCCTACTAGTGTACAGGCTATCTTCCCTCATTGATAAGAAGGACTAGGAACAATCTGGGGAGGGTCTATCTTCAGACAGATAAGGAAACTTCAGAGAAAGGGCACTAAGAGAAAGAAGCCAGAGACAGGAGGGGGAGAAGGTGAGAGAGACCTTGGTTCTGAGGCTGCTTCTGAAAACTTTCTAAAGCTCTTAGTTCAAAGTACTCAGCATGCCAGTAAGACTGGGAGTATCATTTTCTGACATCCAACAAAGGAAAACTAAAATCACTGAAGTAGTGACTTCTAGAAGAAACTCAGTGGGGAAAGACAAAATGAAAATGTTTTAAATAATCTCTGTTCTTTTTTCCCTAGGCTAGGCATACAAATACACTTTCAGACAGTAAATTAAAACAAAAACAGACTTAATCCCAACCTCGTGGAGCTCAGAGTGGAAGGCCCTAATATTTAAACAAACATCAATAACAATCTGTGTGTAACTACAATATGGCTCTGGGGACCCCAGGGACAGAAAATGGGATGAACTCTGCTGGGTGTGGAAGGGAACGAGGCTACCCACTAAGGGGTGGGAGGGGTGTGCATAAAAATGTTTGCAAAAGCTACAGAGAGATACAGTAGATTTAAACTGATCTATGAATGACAATGGTGTAGGCATAGGTAGTATAATATATTTGATCTTTGTCCCTGGTTCCTGTCACAAGGCTCCCAAAACCTTTAGCCTTTCTGGAGTGGTAGTAGTGTGTATTGTTATTTACTATGAATCCTTAGCTTGGGTGTGGTGGTGCAAGCCTGTAATCCCAGTGCTCAGGAGGCTGAAGCAGAAGGGGGGCTTGTTGGAAGCCAGCCTGTGCAATTTAGCAAGGGTTGGGGCTATAGCTCAGTGGCAGAGACCTTGCCTAACATGTGGAAGATCTCGGTTCAAGCCTTAGAACCATAAAGGGAAAATGAAACCTCTGAACAAGAAAGTGTGATGTGCTTCCAGGTCACTGTTGCTGAATATGTGGCAGTTCCCAGAGAGGGCCAGGAAGCTCTGTGTTCCCACCCCCATACCTTGCCCTATTCATCTGGTTTTCATCTGTGTCTTTGGTACTGGTGACTTCGGGTAAGGGATTCACTGAGTTATCTGGGCCTTCTTAACGCACTGTCAAACCCAAGGATGGCTCCCCGGGAACCCTTGCCATAGGCATTTGATCAGAAGGATGGGTGACAGCCTATTGCTTGGATGATGGGCTTCTGAAGTACAGGCTGGCTTCGGGGATCAAGTGCTCAACCTGGGATTGGACACTCTCCAGGGAGTGTCAGAACTGAACTGAAGTAGAGGATCCAGTTGGTGTCCAGAGATTGCTTAACATGTGAGAACACACACACACACACACACACACACACACACACACACACATCTAGTCTCAGAAGAATTATATGTCAGTGTAAGAACAGAGAAGAAAAAAGGTGTTCTTTCCTTTTACATTTATTCATCAAATAAATGCAAAGAAGAGAGGGAAGAAGAACATCACAGGCAAAGGTTACAGCAAGGTCAATGGCATTGATCTGGAAACACAGGCCAGCGGGATAACAAAGTCCCGGCTGCTCTGCAAGGAGAGTGCTTTGAGCTGGCTCCCTTTGTGCTTGTACCTCGTCTAGACTCAACAGCCTTTTTTTCTTTTTCTTTTGGATGGTACTAGGAATTATACTCAGAGCCTCTGCCCTGAGCTGATATTCCCAGCCTTTTTTTAATATTTTCTTTTGAGACATTCTCACTAATTGCCCTGACTTGACTCCCAATTTGCCATCCTCCTGCCTTAGCCTCCCAGAGTGCTGGGATTACAGGCTTGTGCCACCACACTCAACTGATATCTTTGGAAGGAGTTTTGGTGATATTTAACTCGTATATTGCAGTAAAGATCAATGAGTGCATCAAGCACAGCACCTAAGCAACAATAAAGGTTTGTCATCACTGTCTGATTGGAAACCATAAGGTTGGGAAAAAGGGGACTCGGCTCAAGGGATTCATGTTCCAGGTCCCTAAGGAGCTCACAGTCACATGACAATGCTGACTCCAGGGCAGCAACTGTGTCTAACTTGTCACTGGTGCATCCCAGAGCACCTGACATAGAGTTGACTTGAAAAGTGTGAACAATGGTGAAAGTAATGGGGCAGCTCCTTTAGGAAGTTGTCCTTGGAGGTACTTTTGTTTC